ACCTTCTTCTGTAAGTAGAAATGTGAAATACCTAAACCGGTGACGAGGAGCAGTGACATCTGATACTACGATCAACAATACGGCTGCTAGAAAATTCTCACTATTTTTTTGAACTTATTTTGAAATCCTAGCATCACGCCGCATATTAATGAGGGTTAATAATTTTCTGCTCACCAGATGTCGCTAGTTGACACGAAGGTAAAGTTTTTTTTGTTACACAATGTCATTTAATTGAGGAGGATTTTTAATCAAAGTGTCAGTTGTTTGTCATTTAATTTTTTGCATATTTTTTATTTTTGTAATTTTTTCTACTTTTATGAATATCTGCTTCGGTTTATTTATTTTTAATATTATTAATATTAAATATAGCTATAATAGTACAGAAAGAAACATTAATCTTTACATTTTCCGAACAAATTATCATCCCCGCTATGAAATCTGTCATATTTTATACCTCAATTTTAAATGGCGCCAACATACTTTTGTTGTCATTTTTTTCGTCGTCCATCAGTAATAAAGTATTGGGCCTTATCCTAGTACATCATGCAAAACATACGATATATCGATATTTATCACACGATATATTTTTTCATTTGCCCATCCCTAGATCACCTATCGATACCACATCGTACTTCGTCTACCGATACCACATCGAGTAAAGAAACCGTACCGTACAGAGGCAAAGCTTCATACAACCGCGCTGTGATAGATACACTATTACAAGCTTGTTGTGCGTGAGCACTGGCGGCTTATCACGTACAGAGACAAACTGCTTTAAATCGGCTCGGACAGTGCTCAAACTCAGGGTTGTGTAAAAAATGATAAATGTCAAATTTTGTTTATTAAAAAATTAATTGTATCCAATGAAATATTAAGTGTAAATATGGTGTACCTACGTAGAGTTAAAACTTATCCGAGGTTGCCACAAGAGATACCGCTGATTTTGTAAATAAAATCAATAATTTGTTTGATTTCTTACACTCAAGTACACTGCGGTCTCCTAATAAATATAAAAAACCTTTTCGATGCGATAGTTATCAAATTGAGTTTTTACAAGAAACTAACATTTTTCAGGAATTTAAAATGAATAAGAAGTGATAGGCAGAAAAAAAATTACAAATAGCATGAATTTCATTCACGGATTCCAACTGTCTATTAAATCTTTAATAAAACTTCATGAAAAATTAAAAAAAATCAGAAGAAATTAAATTCATTTATATTTCCGAGACTTTTCGATCAAGGTTGTCTCGAAAATTACATTGTTCTGCGTTCATACAATTTTCGCATAAGAACCACTAAGAACCAACATTGAAAAAGATACCTTTTTAAGTTCGAAATTACACATAATTGTATATAAGAACAATAACTCTGACTGACTCTGACAGACACTTCTGAAAACATAGATATTAACAGTTATCATAGAAATTTCAAGGTTATGTTTTATTTTTATGAAACATTACTATGTTATTGCTGATGTAAGCAGTTCAGTCTTAGTCTGGCACTTATACTAACTAGATTATGTAAACTTATCGCAACTTAACCAACTGCACAGTGTTCCTGTATATACTTACAATATATATATATTTTAACGTCTTGTCATAGATTACTGCATAGTCATAAACGCAGCACATTAGTATTAAAAAATAGGTACAAAGTTCAAAATCAAAAAAGTCCTTTTTATTTTGATTTCACATTTCAGAAGTGTCCGTTACTATCTATTGAATGTTATCTAATGCATAATTAAGGATAAGTATTTTGGTAATTGTCAAATATATTTAGTTGGTTCTTAGGCGAGTTTTTACAATGTCCTTTCTTTGGAAAAGTCAGAAATGTGTTAACAATAATTAACAATATAGCTTCTAGAGTAGATGTAACATTCATTGCCTGTATTATATTTCGATATTTTTTTTATTTTTTTGGAAATATAAAAAATTTAAGGTAAGGTAAAAAGGTTGAAAGTCGATTCTAAATTTTAATGCGATTATTCAAGGTTCCCCTTATCGGTACGGTTCCTGTTGTGTTCAAAGCGCTAACAAAATCCAAATAGACTTATCTGAAACAATTATTATGCCAAATCTATCAGAATATATATTTGACACACTGCTTTTTAAAAAACACGTTTTTGTAACATTTTTTCGATCTTTCTCATAAAATGAAGGTGATAAAAAATACAAGGCACCAAAATAGCATTACTTATCAACGTGAGTTGGTAAAATTAATAAAAATAACGTATCATATTTAAATACAGAACTTGGTTGTATTTTACTATATTATTTATTATATGTTGTATTACTTTATTTATTTATTATACGTGCTACTACAATTTCACTTAGTGATAAGTGGTGAAGCGCTTGATGGTTAATCGCACTGTTCTAGCATAAGAAATGCCTATTCACTCTTGCCTTGAAGACACCCATAATGTATTCGGACGGTAAGACTGACGCCGGCAAATTATTCCGTTGACTTATTCTTTAATAATTAATTGTTATGTGTTTTGTACGTTACAGTGTAGAGTCATCGCATTACCTTTCATTTCTATGCAGTTCAACATTGACCATAGATTACTTTGTATTTTTAGACGCAGTACAGGAACTTTTGTCGCTTTGCCACGCTACCCGCTCGTTATTTTTTTAAACTGAAATTTTGTACATATTTTTGGTTATAATTGTATAAATATAATTCTAAGTTTTATAAATATCGGAGAAATAGTGGGCGTTGGGTTATCGGCTAATGTGAAATACCCAATAACGTGATAAGAAAACCTTTACAGAGTTACGTTACCAACATTATCATCATCATCATTACAGCACTAGCACTTCACAAGGCCACTGCTGAACATATGCCTCTTCCAGAGAATGTTGCAAAGTACAGTCCTGAGCCAGCTGCATCTATCGACTTCCAGCATCGCTAAACTGGTCGCTACTTCCCTACACTTCGACCTTCCCAATCCGCTGTCGGTTCTTCGAGCATAAGGCCGGCCCGTCGTTACTCTGGTTCCACTGCGTATATCCTCATTTCTGTGTAAGTCTACGACGCAGCGAAACTCCGAGCATAGATCTTCGTAGGTCGCTGAGTAGCCTTGAACTTCCTTATAACTTACGATGGCGAGTGATAATTATTGCTGTTCTTTTCTCTAGAAAGTAATACGTAATAACGCCAGAAGCGGCTGTCGATGGGTGGTTTTAATGTACTAGAAAGTACTTGTCTGTTTAGCATTTGGACCTCTTATTAGTGAATTCAAGTTTATTCCTGCTGAACATAGTGTAACATATTGCATGTTTCTGTTTTAATTGGTTTGGTTATAAAATATAGTTATTGTTATTAGTTTTTTGTCGTTGATGTTTTTAATTTCATGTCATGAATGACAATAAAAAGATAGTCTCGTGATTCATATCACTGATTTAGACTTCCCTTCAAGTCTAAATCAGTAATACTTTTTTTATACTAAGGACAATTAGTATAGGTGTTATAGCTAGTAATTATCTAAAAAAAATGTTTATGCACCCAATGATTACATACTTTATTTACATTCTGTATCTCTTTTTGCTGGCCATAATATCGGAATTGAATGCATTTCATAAGAACTAATTATAAACCAAATTAATGACTGATATATTAAACTTATTGCTTAGCAACTAACAAGTGTGTTGTGGTGTCTTTGATGACATAATTTCGAGTGAGCTCTTATGAAATCATGAATTAACATGCTTGAGTATTTCATTGTTTTTGTAGCAATTTATACATTTCTTCTATAGTTTGGTATGTTTAAGAGAGCCACATACTGGTTTTAAATATGATACTCTTCCATCAACAATATACAACCTAAATAATTAATTATCTGTTGATATCTAATTAAAGGTTAATAGTTAAAATGTAACTCTTGTATATATGTATATTAAATATATGTATAGTATAGATGTTTAGTATTAAATATAACACATAGAATACTTTATTATATTACAACTTTTATCATTTTTTGATTTAATTTTGTAAATTTGTTAAATTTGTAAAGTTGTTTTACTTTTCTTTTGTTTCAACAATGAAAACATGCATAGTTCTTTTAGTATTACCCGTTCTTTTAGTACAACTCTGGGAGAGGCCGCTGACTCCTAAGATACAGACTCGTCTAGTTTAGGAGTCAGAGACTTCATAAAATTTCTTGTGATTTATTTTTGACAATAAAAGAATTATTATTATTATTATTATTAACTCAATAAATACGACACAAATATGCTGTGGGGTCTTATTTATTAATCAGGAGATTTGACGTTTAAAACTGAAAGATGAGTTCGAGTTATACATTTTTTTTACGTCCTAGATCTATACTGTAGCTATATTATAGTTGTAAAACGAATGGGTCAACGAATCTGCATTTTAATTCGTAATCGAGGATAGATATAGATGTCTATGGCCCACAATAACCAGTTACCATCAGGTGGACTGTCTGGTCGATTGTCACCCTTATCGTATAAAAAAAATTGTGTATAATCTTCTATCTTTTCCATTGGCCTTAATAATTTTATTAAGGCTCTAAAGTTTATGTCGTTACCCGATGGGCACCAGCGTGGCCACTATGGCAAATATCCTCCTATGAGGAAATCTATGAGGGAGGTTTATGAAAATATATTGTAAATTAACAAATATACTATATTATATTATATAATATATAATCATAGATAGTCTCAGGTTTTATACATGACTCATTATTTAATTTTATATTGTTGATTGAAGATCATATTGTTTATAATGATAGAAGATATTTTATACAATATTCTATACAAACTTTACACTGAGTAATACACTGGTGGAAGAACATGCAAATTGTCCATATTATAATTAAGTGTGGTCATATTTGACACAAATGTTTCAAACTTTAACAATTTAAAAGATTACCTAACTTCTTTTAAAATACCAAAATAATAATATATGTATTGTATTGTATTTTGCTGTTTCAAAAAATATATATAATATTTGTAATTTGAAATATGTATAGTTTTATGTTAAACTTTTTTAACGATTTGAACGACGTCTTCGTCGGCTAAAATGTGTTCTATTCCGACCTTTTGTGGCTGATGCTTCACAGAAGAACCCCACACCAAGGCACTGGAAAAAAGTTTTTTTTTGTTAATTACCTTTTTATTTTAATGAAGGAAGGAAGAAAATCTACACTTCCTACTTGATTCTTTAACACCGCCACCGTGTATGGTGGTATAGAAAAATCCACTACCCGGTGAAAGTTTCTTGCTTTTTTAAATGGCAGATAGGCATCAGCATCTCTTTTTTTAATAAAAATTCCATAATAATAAAAAAAAACTGTGGTTTCCACCACAGTTTCCCCAGCCATATGCCACACGTAGCAACTATAGCAAATATCTACCCTCTAGAGAATCGCAACGAGTCTCGAGCGCTTCTATCGTCGGGTAGTCTCCACGAACGAGCGATTATTCCGCCAGCGTATCGTCGCGACTCGTAACGAAATCGCCGCGTGTTCGCGACGACTCGTAACGGAATCGCTAAGTTTCCGCGACGAAGCGTTGTGCAATAGTTTTGCGAGCTGTCAAACACAGGTAGGACGCCTGCGTTTGACAGCGCGCTCGCCACGTACTCGCTGTGAGAGCGCCACGTTCCGTGGCGAGCGCGCGGCGATACGGTGATGTTTCGCTCGCACTCAGCCACACGTCGCATCGCCGCGATAACATCGCCGTGTGTAGACACGTTCTAAGAAAGTGTATAGAAATACGTAGCACGACGATAATATCGCCGCGATTCTCTCGCTCGTGGAGGCAATCCCTTAGATGAGTTTTAGAAGGGTGTTTTTAAGTATTCCACATAGATTGAAATTGTAATATTGCAATTGTAAAAATAAAAACATGCACTTTGCATAAATGTAAAAGAAAATATTTGTGGTTCTTGTAAAGTAAATACTAAGATAATAATTTATATAAATAATGTGTTTTATACATATATAACCTGTAACCATCACGAAAAACGGGTAGGCAATGTGGGGTACACTACCTACTTCTTCCATAAGGTTGCATCATACTAGTGAAAGGAAATAGCCGTAGTTTAGTGAAACTTACTGATAATGTAAAGAAACACCCTACATATCAGATGCTTTACAACACCCATGGTCAGAGGGAGGACCAAGGTGTTTGAATCACGATGTCATATAAAGCCCAACTGCCTTCAGTTTTAGAATATTAATTTTTGGTCCGTTCTATGCAGAATGAGCTTACAGTATCTATAAGTCTTGCAGTGCAGTGAGAGGAAATAGTCGTAGTTTAGTGAACTCTCACAGATAATATAAAGAAAAATGCAGAAAAAAATATACTCACTATTTAAACTCTTTTACAATCGACCTGTGCAGCTTGTTACAAAAGTCCTCGATGCTTGTTTTGTCTGCATGAAGCACAACTGGAGCATTATAATCGGGTAATTGTCCTTTCGGCTTAGTGTATATCCTGATGAGCTTCAAATATTCCCACATCTTTTCTAAAAGGTCATCGAAATTCCATTTATGATGAGCAGATATTGGGACGCAATGAGGAATCTTGTAAATTATGTCCAATTCTTCAATACTAATTTGGTCTGAAAGAAACAACACAAAATATAAGCAGTTAAAAAAATATCCTAATGTAATGCTTTTTTTACCAATTTCACAGTTAAACAACCTTCTCTAAAACAGTGTGAGGAAACCTGCCTTTATATCTGAGCACGTGATAAATCAGCACTTAAAATTACACTAAACTATTTCAGTGGCGCTGGCAGGGAATAAACTCAGGTTGTGCTGATCGCCTGAGCTACCAAGGCATAATATTAATATATCAAAATATCGTTGGTTTTGAATATTTTTACAAGTGTAGTCACTTTTACACATTAATATGTAACAATTGTCCAAATACTCAAACGTTGCTCAGTTTTAAGATGCAGTTAAGTCTGGTGCTGTCTTTATCACTTTAAGTCAAAGTTATTGAGTAGCTTTTGAGTATTTATGCATATAACTTGAAATAACAGTAAAAAAACTATAACACAAAAATGAAAGAAGGCTAGGCAGGTTTTCACATTGTAGTGCCACCCTGCAACATTGTATAGCAGCGGCAACAGCTGTAGGAATCACCACACTTGCACAGATAAATAGAGTAAAATTGCAGCATAAATACTCTCTCACGTAATAGACGAGAACCGTACACAACTTCAGTCATTTGGCAAATATGGCATCCCAACAAAGCCTTGCAAGATTTGATGGCTTTTATTTTTTATTTCACTTAATCAAATTTGTTTTAGAATTTTGCATGCACAAGATGTTAGACATATTACAATATGTCAAAGAATATAGAGACATAAATTAAAAAACTTATGTCCCTTGAGTTGATGAAAGGACTCACCTATCTTATTAAGTAAATAGATACAAGGAACATAAACTCTGTTGCCTTCAATTACGTCAATAAGGTCATCACTGGTGGCATCATATCGGAGAGTGATATCAGCATTATGAATCTTATACTCGGACAAAATTGTTTTAACAGTTTCTATATCAAGTTCGGACTGTGGACACTGTAAAAAAGACAATGGGATTTTTACAACAGAAAACCTTTCATTTATTTTGTAAACAAACATTATTTAAATATCAGGGGATGTTATAAAGAGTAACTTGGCTACTTTTATTTTGGGAAAATAATTCCCGGGTAAAGGGTTCCACACAAACAAATTAAAACCCATGAAATCCGAAGTCGAAGTCGGGCGAAGTCGCGGGGACAGCTAGTATATAATATGATTTTTAGATTTAATTTAGATATTAATAATATCTAAATTTGATTGTGATGATTTTAATAATATCTGATTGTGATGTGTATCTGTGTGTTATTAAAAGAGCACACATCACAATCAATTCATTAGATTCAAAATGTTAGGATAGCTTTCTTTAGTAATGACTTTTTAATTCCCAATGTTTCAGGTTTCGGGTGCATTACAGCAACCATGGTCATGGGGAAGACTAGTGTTTGAAATCACGATGTCATAGTTAGCCCGGCTGCCTTCAGTTTTAGAATATATATTTTTGGTCCAATCTATACAGAATGAGCTTACAGTATCTTAAAGTCTTGCAGTGCAGTTTTTCAAATATTCCTTCTATGAAGCAATCTTTGAAGGTTCAGCAGTAGACATTTGATAGGCTGTAATCAATGAGTTAATGTATATATTACATACATTTATTTATCATCCTGGTTGTGAAATAAATTGGAGGATAAAGACCATAATTTTCAGAATACTCTTTCATTGGCTTAGCTTTCCATTGACCCCCGTCGAGTTAGGGGTTGATACGTATTTTTACAGAAAAGTTACACTATTATAAGCACACACACATCTCACGGAATACCAACGTAAAATAGCAGCTTAACACTGCTGTGTTTCGTATGGTGAGTGTAGAGAACCGGAGACCCTTTTTACTGGAAAAGAGGCGTCCATCTTAGTCCTCACGGGTGACAACGCATCTGCATTTTGATTCGCAAACGAGGATAGATGTAGATGTCTATGGGCCACAGCAACCACTTACCATCAGGTGGACTGTGTGCTCGTTTGTCACCCTATCCTATAAAAAAAAACACAAAGTTACAACATGCGGAAATGTGTAATTTTTGAGAAAAAAGTTATTGAAAATCAATTATTCTTGCATTGTTTATATCTAATCCTACCATAAAACTGACGCGACGTCATTGTCGTCAGTAGGGGTGTCGATTTTTTCCGAAAAGGGTCGATTTTTAAATCGATTCAAATCGTAAGCTGATGTATCGATTCATAAAAAATCGATTTCTAAAATAGCTATATTTTTTATGTTTGCATTTACAATGTAAATATAATTCCATGTTATGAAAAACAAGAAAGATACCATAATAAATGATCTCTTATTAAATTTTGTTTTATTTTAACAGTACCAATTAGGGCAGATAACAAATAAAATAGGTTAGGTTCAAATTATGTCAAAGAACCGAATTGATTGACCCCGACTCCACCTGATACGAGTCTGTCCTACCCCTAGAGTGGTTTTAAAGCGACGGAGACGTAGCAGTCTCAAAATAGATACAGAAATCCTTCGGAATCAGTCCCCCTATATTTTATGATGAAGGGGATTTTTTTCTCATAAAATGGATTTATATTTACATTATAAATGCAAACATGAAAAAAATATAGATACGAGGGTGGATTGAAAAGTACTCGGCCTAACACAGATCCATTCAATTCTAAAAATCAAATCTACCCACATTATTTAGTTCAGTTCAGACTAGTTCATTGTGTGAAGTTCGAAACGTGTGCGATAATTAGTTGTGATTTTATAAATTTATTAACAAAGTAATCGGACATAATTTCCGCGAATGGAGCAAATCGAGCAGCGTGCCGTCATTAAGTACCTCCATAAGAAGGGGCTATCATCAAAAGCCATCCATGATGACATGGTCAGTACATTAGGCGATTGTGCTCTGTCATATTCATCCGTCAAAAAATGGATAGCAGAATTTAAGCGTGGTAGAGAGAGTGTGAAAGATGAACCCCGCTCTGGAAGGCCTTCGACGTCAACTACTGACGAAAATATTTAAAAAGTACTTGATTTAATAATGGGAGACCGCAGATTAAAAATTAGAGAGATAGCCGAGATTATAGGCATCTCTTATGAACGAACTCAAAACATCATTGTCAACGAGTTGGGTTTCCACAAGGTGTCTGCGAGGTGGGTTCCGCGACTGCTTTCAGTTGAACAAAAAAGGACGCGATTGACTATTTCACGCGACTGTTTGGAGTTATTTGAAGCCGATGCAGATGATTTTTTGAATCGTTTTGTTACTATGGACGAAACATGGGTTCATTACTGTACACCGGAAACAAAACAACAATCAAAACAGTGGAGAAGACCTGGTTCACCACCCCCTAAAAAGGCTAAGTCGATTTTGTCGGCAAATAAGGTGATGGCTTCAGTATTCTGGGACTCGAAAGGTGTGATTATGATTGATTATCTTGAAAGGGGTCAGAATATAAACTCTGATTACTACTGCACCTTACTACGTCGTTTACGAGAGGAAATAAAAGAAAAACGTCGAGGAATGCTCAGAAGAAAAGTCCTGTTTCATCAAGATAACGCCCGTGTTCACACATCAGTACAGTTAATGGCTGAAATTCACAACTGTGGCTTTGAACTGTTACCGCATCCGCCATATTCACCTGATCTGGCACCATCAGACTTCTTTCTGTTCCCTAACCTAAAAAAGCACTTGGAGGTCAAAGATTTTCGACAAACGACGAGGTCAAAGCAGCTGTAGACGCATATTTTGACTCTAAGGAAGAATCATTTTTTTTCAACGGTCTAAATGCTTGGAAGGGGAGGTGGCAAAAGTGTATTGAACTTGATGGTGATTATGTAGAAAAATACAAATATAACTGATTTAGTATTTGTTTATTTTCTTGGTTAGGCCGAGTACTTTTCAATCCACCCTCGTATTTTAGAAATCGATTTTTTTGGGAGTCGATACATCAGCTTACAATTCGAATCTATTTAAAAAATCGATCTTTTTCGGAAAGAATCGACGTCCCTACTGACAATAACAATAAAAAAATGGCGTGAGTTTTATTGTAGGATTAGACATAAACAATGCAAGAATAATTGATTTTCAATAACTTTTTTCTCAAAAATTACACGCTTCCTCATATTGTTTACTTTGTGTATGAGGAAATAAAAGAAAAACGTCGAGGAATGCTCAGAAGAAAAGTCCTGTTTCATCAAGATAACGCCCGTGTTCACACATCAGTACAGTTAATGGCTGAAATTCACAACTGTGCCTTTGAACTGTTACCGCATCCGCCATATTCACCTGATCTGGCACCATCAGACTTCTTTCTGTTCCCTAACCTAAAAAAGCACTTGGAGGTCAAAGATTTTCGACAAACGACGAGGTCAAAGCAGCTGTAGACGCATATTTTGACTCTAAGGAAGAATCATTTTTTTTCAACGGTCTAAATGCTTGGAAGGGGAGGTGGCAAAAGTGTATTGAACTTGATGGTGATTATGTAGAAAAATACAAATATAACTGATTTAGTATTTGTTTATTTTCTTGGTTAGGCCGAGTACTTTTCAATCCACCCTCGTATTTTAGAAATCGATTTTTTTGGGAGTCGATACATCAGCTTACAATTCGAATCTATTTAAAAAATCGATCTTTTTCGGAAAGAATCGACGTCCCTACTGACAATAACAATAAAAAAATGGCGTGAGTTTTATTGTAGGATTAGACATAAACAATGCAAGAATAATTGATTTTCAATAACTTTTTTCTCAAAAATTACACGCTTCCTCATATTGTTTACTTTGTGTATGTGCTTATAATAGTGTAATTTTTTTGTAAAAATACGTATCAACCCCCAAATCGATGGGAGTCAATGGAAAGTCGTACCCTTTCATTTATTTACCTCAAATCCTCAGGTAATCCTCATACACATCTACCGCATCATCAATATCAATAAGTGTGTATAATTTAGTACAATCCTTGATTAAAGTTTGACTTACTGTTGTGTTCAAATTGATGCCACCTTTATCTTTTTTTCTAAAGTGAATGTTGGGCGGTTGTTTGTTTAATCTTAGACCAAAGCCCTCTAATTCATGTTCTAGAAGCTTCTTGTGTTGCAATGGCTTAAGGACATCAAGAACAATGAAGACTAAGCTGCATGTGCGTGCCACTGCTATAACTTGTCGTCCTCGACCCTTACCATCCTTAGCACCTTCAATGATACCAGGAAGATCGAGAAGCTGTAAAATAAATCAATAGTATGTATGTTTTGTGTGTCTATTGTAGAACAGGCCAAATAAGTCACTTCAAACATTTTTTAGTCTCAAAATTATAAATCAAAAATTCAGCCAACTGGCTCAAAATTTATATTTTTAAATGTATTTGACTATTTAAAGGTTTTAACTAGTGATGGAATGAATACAAATACGATAATTGTCTATCGGCGAATATCGTAATACATTACTATATTCATAGTATTTATTACAATTCAGCTTATTTAAAGCAGACTTCACAAAAGGCCAGGTTCACAAATTAACTGCATGTTTTTTTTTGCATGTATGGTACGCCATATCTTAATTGAGACCCAAATTTCTTCTACATACTATAACTATGTCATTTTATTGGCACCAACTTCAGAATGTGAAATTATTTTAATTTCTTTTAGTTCTTAGGGTATAATATACCTAGTCAGGTCATAGGTATTGTCACACAGTAAAAACTTTTCTTTTAGAATGCTGGCCACAAAAAAATTTATTGAATTCGAATTTCGAATTGTTCATGAAAATAAAACTGTATACTTTTTAGAATTTTACTCATTTTTAAATATGGAGTGAACGCTTAAAGAAGACCGTGTTGCAGTTATTGCGTTGCATCGTTGCGGTTACGCGCCAATTCAAATTTTTGACATACTGAAAAATTTGAATATAACCAAAAGATTCGTTTATCGTACCATCAAACGATATAATGAAGACTCTAGTGTAGATGACAGGTCAAGAAGTGGTCGCCCTCGGTCTGTTAGGACTCCAGCAGTGATAAAAGCTGTGAAGGCGCGAATTCAAAGAAATCCCAAACGTAAGCAGAAACTGTTGGCCCTTCAGAAGGGGTTAAGCAGAACCACGGTGAAAAGGGTGTTAAATGAAGACTTAGGGCTTCGGGCATATTGAAGAAAAACAGGACATCGTTTGAATGCTCGTCTAATGGACCTGAGACTGAAGAGATGCCGCGCTTTGTTGAAGCGGTACGCGGGAAAAAAATATCGGGAAATTCATTTTTCGGATGAAAAAATTTTTACCGTAGAAGAGAGCTACAACAAACAAAATGATAAGGTGTACGCACACAGTAGTGAAGAAGCGAGCAACCGTATTCCGCGTGTCCAACGAGGTCATTTTCCATCCTCGCTCATGGTATGGTTGGGAGTTTCTTATTGGGGCTTAACAGAGGTACATTTTTGTGAGAAAGGTGTAAAAACGAATGCAGTTGTGTATAAAATACAGTCCTGACGAACCTTGTGGAACCTGTTTCTCATACCATGTTCAATAACAGGCACTGGGTATTCCAACAAGATTCGGCACCAGCTCATAGAGCGAAGAGCACACAAGACTGGCTGGCGGCGCTAGAAATCGATTTCATCTGGCACGAAGACTGGCCCTCCTCCAGTCCAGATTTGAATCCATTAGATTACAAGATATGGCAACACTTGGAGGAAAAGGCGTGCTCAAAGCCTCATCCCAATTTGGAGTCACTCAAGACATCCTTTATTACGGCAGCCGCCGATATTGACATGGACCTCATTCAGGACCAAACTCAGTGTCATAAGAATCTATGTTTTATTAAGTTCATTTTGGTATATAAATGGTTACATATTGAATAAACTTGTTTCAATTATTTTATATTAAACATGTGACAGAATTTATGACCTGACTAGGTATAAATTATCTGGTTTAGTAAAGCAAGAGCAAGAGACATACAGTTGACCGTTTGAAAAATTTCATATAAAAAACATTCAAACAATTTTATATTAAATGAAGATATCACAATATGTTTTTTTTTTTAGATACGGGCCATTTGTCTAAGAAATATAACTTAGAAAACCTAATTAAAACATATGCAATAGTTTTTCCATGATGCGCACACAACTGCAAACTTCTACCACTTTATTATATATTACACACTGACTACATATCCTAATATTTTCTATATCTCCAATATCAGATTTTCTCACCACTTTCTTCTTGACTACCAAGCATGTGGTAAATAATTTTTCTTGTTTTTAAATAAATGTAACCTCCATGGTCCTCATGGTCACTAGGATTTTGTCCTGTATCGTGGGGGCAGTTTACATGCATAATTTTCACACAAAGAAACATCCACAGCAGGAACAATTATTTGTAGGCTATGACCATACAAATACTTGTTCTGTGGAGGTTTCGAACCCAAACTCTTAGCGCTGCAACTCATTGCTAAGCAACTGCACCATGAAGCCATGTACATAATACATAATATGCATTTTAAGAATTACCTCACATAATATGTAATAATTATTTTTAAAAATTATTTCCTTTCTTGAGTGGTTGAAGGAATATAAAAATATCAAGTTATGGTTTTTTAAACTTAATGTAAAGGTTACTTGCCTGTATTTTTGCACCCTTGTATTTGATACAGCCTGGCACAGTAGTTAATGTTGTGAATTCATAAGCTGCAACTTCAGAGTACACACCGGCTAAATTAGAGAGTAGAGTAGATTTTCCTACAGAAGGAAATCCTACAAAGCCAATTCGAGCATCACCAGTTTTGGCCACGTCAAAACCTGAAATTGAGTTACGATTCCCTATTATTGACGAAAATTAAAGTAAATATGATTGAAATTAAATATTTAATTTTAAGTTTTGCCAAAATAAAATTAACTAAATATTTGTTTACATACTTGCGTAAAATGTTGTGTTAACAACTGGTATCTCTTAATGCAAGTACCAGCTTACCTTCGCCTGTAGCACCACCGCCGCCTTTAGGGGTAATAAGTTCACGTCTCAATTTAGCCAACCTGGCTTTTAAAATGCCTAAATGAAGTGCTGTTGCTTTATTTTTTTGAGTCCGGGCCATCTACAAATGCATTCCATATTAACATTTTTTTTCCATTATAATGCTTCACAATTGTGTAGTTTAGTTTTAATTCAAGTAATTTTGGAAGAAATAACACTTTTTAACTTTGTTATTTATTAATAATAGAATAATAGAAATAATAAAAACTTTAAGTCATAACCTCCCCTACATACCTCGGCCTCGATAGCCGCGATCTTCTCTAGGATGGTACTCATATTTATTTATTTATTTCTGATAATAAAAACTATTCCAAAGGAAAAATTACTAAAATTGGTTTATCTTAATATTATAGGGAATAAATAAGGAAAAAAAAACAGAATGAAAGCGTGTCAATCTTTCTCTGTCCGTCAAAGAGGCTCCGTGCACCAGGTAGGGATGTGAAAAAATAATCGATTTTCATATTAATCGATTATTTTTTTGTTATAATCGATTTTTCGTAGTCGATTTTTTTTATAATAAAAATCGATTTTTAATAAATCGATTTTTATGTAAATTACGCGTTTCAATCGATTTTTGTAATCAGAGTCATCTGTGCGATGGATGTAAAAACGTGAAATAAGTTCAATAACATGAATAAGTCAATCAAAAGACGGCGCCACCTTTATTATGTATCTCTATATAAAACAGTTTCGCTTTTCGTATGTTTTCAACAGGTTTCTTCCTCCGCTAGGAGTAAAAGTATTCTGTGGTTTTCTTTCTTTCTTTGGTTAGTGTAAACAATTATATATAAACAATAAAAAATGTCTTGTGAAACGCGTAAAAGTGACTGACAGAAGTAATTTATAATGAAAAAATTATAGCGGCCAACACGTTAATAGGCAAAAATACTGAATTGGATCTATATATTGCGGCACCACTATCAAATCTCAAGGCAGATGCCCTCAATATATGGAGAAGCTCTGAAGGAACTTTCCCTAAACTAACCGAATTGGCTTTTAAACACCTCTCAGTGATGACCAATTCTGCGCCTGCCGAAATATTATTTTTGAAAGCGGGAAATATTGTCAGGAAAAAACGAAACCGTATTTTGGGAAAGAGACAAAGAAGAATTTTGGTGAAATGATTGTTTAAGTCTTTAACTGGAAATTCATTGCAATATTTTTTTTAGTTTTTTTTTTGTTTACACTAGTGTAAAAAAAGATTTGTCTTTTATTTTAGTTTTGAGATCAAAAGGTTGTCGTCGGATTATTTATAATTATATTTTTATTTTATTTTCATTCTAATCCAATGTAAATGATACTGAACATTAGTGGCATAATGATATTTAGACTTTTTGTTTGTTCAAACTTAGTTTAAAAAAACTATCGTTTACGAAAATTATGGTTTCTTAATGATTTCTTATATTTACGTGAAGACTAAACATTATGAAATTAATTTTTACGGATTTGATCACGCTTAATTTAACTTTTTAATTCCTGACGTTTCGGGTGCTTCACAGCACCCATGGTCACGGGGGGAACTGAGGTCTTTGACGTCCAGATGTCATAGTTAGCCTGGCTAAATTCAGTTTTTGAATATTAATTTTTGGTCCGATCTACGCAGAATGAGCTTACAGTATCTTGAAGTCTTATAGTGGTATGCTTGGGTTTGGATTTAATTTTATTAATTATAGGATGCCAAGCAGATGGCAGCACCCATCCATCTTCTCTATTGAAATTAGGATGTTTTTTAATTTCGATAGCCTAGCGAATCATCCTTGGTAGGAATCGGTGTTCTTTTGCGAGGATTTGTGGTTCAACTATGACATAGGGACGTCAAACACCTCAGTCCCCTCTGTGACCATGCGTGCTGTAAAGCACCTGAAATGTCGGGAAATAAAAAGTTAAATTAAACTTGATAAAATCCGTAAAACTTAGTTTAATTTATCGTTTCTGTTTATTGTGGTTGTAATAAATTGTTAAATGGCACTGAACGTTTGTGGCAGTAATTATTTTTAGTTTTTTATTGTTCAAAGTTATATGTTATAAAATTGTTCTGTAGTTTATTTCTAAAACCAGAAGATTATATTTCGAATAAAAATTTTTTTTCGCAGAAATCGATTATTTTTGTATAAAAAAAATCGATTTTTCTTAAATCGATTATTATAACCAAGCAATAAATGGATTTTTTATTAATCGATTTTTTTCACTCAATGTCACATCCGTAGCACCAGGGTTGCCAACTTTATTTTTTAGGAGATCGTACCATAAACTGAAAAAGATTGTATTTTGCTAAGAACTCAACAAAAAAGATAGTACGCACCAATATTTCAATAAAATAATGGTAAAAAAATACAAAATAATATTATTATAACGTCAAAGCAAAACTTTACATTTAGAGTACATATAACCATATAACAATTAAGAATCTGACACTAAACTTTACTACTTTTTTTTATAAAAAAATGGGCTCGGACTGTGTTCACTCTGCAATCTTTTACAAAAATATGTAATATATGATTATCTGCGTAGGTAGTTTAATATTATTTCGATTAGAACGAATAGAATGACCTAAAACAAACTCGAAGAAATGCGGTTAAGGTGAAAGCTTCCGGCGGTTAAGGCGAAAAATCCCTTTGACTGAGTTTTTCTGGAAATAGCCATACAATGGGATTATACGAACTTAGAGGGTTGTATTGATGATGATAATAATTATAATTCTGTAAACTCATTACTTGCTACGACCGCGAAACATATTTTGTTAAACATATAACCTGACACTGACCCGCAAATTGCAAAAAACGTAAGAAAATTTGAATTTCGCGGGCTACCCTGTAGCTTCTTCCTTAAACTGCGCGAGGAATAGAGAGTTTAAAAAATTATTGGATTAGATGCGTTCATGAAAAATTACAAAGAAGAAGTTTAGAGCTCGTTCAATTTTGAAATTATTGATTTTTCATATCGATAAAATTAACTTAATCAATTATCATTTTTATTTTGTTATAAAGAGTATAAGATTTGAAAAGATCGTATATTTTGGGTACGATTTCGAATACATGATCGTACATCGTACTAGGGCCAAAAAGATCGTATGAATACGATTTAAATCGTACGATTGGCAACACTGCCGTGCACCACAGATTAATAAATTAATGAATAAATCTGTAGTCCAGTGCTGCCATCGTAAAAATCTGAGTTGTCGTATGTCACAGTCTGGTGGTATTCAAGGACAAACCATTATAGATCCTGGCTTACAGTGATAGGAGAGTGCTATAGGCTTGTGACAATAAAAAAAAAATTGTACTGTTAAAGATATTAGCGTCAAGAAGTTGTAGGTTAAGCCTGAGTTAGAAAATAAGGTAAAAACTTAAAATAACCATTTTTTTTGATGTGGGTAGTGTTTATTAAGTAGTGCAGCTGATGAAATTGACAAAATAATATAAAAGGAGAAGAAGACGTCTCCATACATTCTTGGGCCCAAGTGTTAACAAGATGAAAGTACCATTTGAAAGCGTATATATAAACAATTAGTAGCTGAAAAGATTTGTCAATCTAGAAGCTGAGTTATTGTAGAATAAGTAAAATAGAGATTATCTATTACCTACACTGTAACAGGTGATTTTTCACTGTTATTACACTGTAACAGGTTATTTTTCACTATAATTGCTTAAAGATATAAAAGCAGGATCAGTATAAAATCACCAAAAATGTGTAGTTAGTAATGAAATAAAATAGTGAAACGATTAACGAAAGATAAAAACACGACTCTTCGTGACGGGTGTTGACTCATCAGAGGGTATCCGACCGTACACCGTACCGGGTATGATGTACCGCAAGGCCTCTCTAGTACATTAGTACATAATATCGCAATGGTGCACAGTGAGAATTTAATAAATAAATTAAAATGATACAAGTTGTTATGAGTATTAGTTATGAGTTCGATTTACAACAATTTAAACATTTTTCTAAATAAATACCGTTGAAAGTACTGGAATAATTTCATTTCCTATAATAATACTAGCACATGTATTAGCCTACTGTAGCGCAAAGTAGTCTTCACATACAGGGAACTAACGAGCATTAATCACAACACTTGCTTAATGCATGTTCGTGATTTCAGATTATAATGTTCAGTATTCCTTACTATGCTTTCTTTCACCGAGTCAGTAATGTCTCAAGTTGTTGAGCATAAATCTCTTTGAAGAATATTGGTACATAACATACCAGCGTATTTATAATATGAATGTACGAATATAAATTTATAAAATGATTTATCGTGAAACGGCTTTTGAGTTCAGTGTTTGCCTAAATATTTTAGATTTTTAGGCAAACACTGAACTCAACTTTGACCTTCCGCGCGTCTACGCGTGCCTCTATAGGTCCCATAGCGGTAATGCCGAAACAGACCGACTCATCGACCACGTCCAAATGGCTGCAGATTCCTTGCTACAACAGGTCCCTCCGCAGAGATCGTGATCCTTGGCGATTTTAACGCCCACCACGCCGAATGGCTCGGTTCACGTTTAACCGATCATGCGGGGAGATCTGTTTATGACTTTGCCTTGGCATATGGTCTGACACAACTGGTTACATCGCCTACGCGGATTCCAGATGTTGAGGATCATACACCTTCCCTGTTGGACCTTCTGCTGACCTCTCATCCGGACGGATATCAGGTTTCCGTCGATGCCCTTCTTGGCTCTTCGGACCATTGTCTGATCCGGAGTGTGGTGCCACTCACGCTCCCCTCGCGGTTGCGTTCTGCAGGTTGCCGCCGTGTTTGGCATTACAGGTCTGCGGATTGGGACGGAATGCGGTCTTTCTTTGCTTCCTACCCATGGGGGCGGGTTTGCTTCTCGCCGGATGATCCCAGCGCTGTTGCTGACTCTGTCACTGATGTGGTGCTACAGGGAATGGAACTATTTATTCCATCATCTGTGGTACCCATCGGAGGCAGATCTCAGCCTTGGTTTGGTCGCTCCTGTAAGACTGCATTACGCAGTAAGCAGGAGTGTTATCAAGCCTGGGCTGCGGCTTCGGTGACTCGGGATGTAAACACCAGCATACTCAAAAAGAAGTATAACTTCGCCTCCAGGTCCTTCAAAAGAGTTACTGCCAAGGCAAAGTCAGAGCACATAGGCAGAATTGGCGAGAAACTAGTTCGCCTTCCTTCGGGAACCCGTGCATTCTGGTCTCTCGCCAAGGCTGTCCAAGGGAATTTCTGTAAGCCATCACTACCATCTCTGCACAGGGAGGACGACTCACTGGCCCACGACGCAAAAAAAGAGGGCCGACCT